TATAAACACTTGAGCTCCCTGATGCAAAACTTAAATGAGGATAGAGAGCTGTAAACGATGATAATAAACTGTGAGAATCTCTATTATATAAACACAAGGAACCAATTAGTAGTAAATACAAGACATAGAGATTGCTTGAGAGAAATGGAGTCTCTATCAGCTTAGGAACGAACAGCTTGCTACTCACAAACACACTATCAGAGAGTAAATAGTTATGGAGAGAATGTCAGAAAAGATATTATCTATTGATCTATCCAATAAATCCTTATGAGGAAAAACTCACAAAAAACCATAATACAAAACAATGTCCCACAATCCTTAAAAAAAAATAGACATTATTTAATAAATTAGTACACAAGCCTATAATTCTAATTCTCTACAAGAAATACCTAATTAAATCTCAATTATTCTAACTTAAGAAAATGTAAAATACACACGAAAAAAAATGGAAATAATTAGAGAAAAATGAGAATGAAAAGTATTTTTTTTTTTTTTTTTATATTTTATTTTAAAATCAACAAAGTAAAATAGAGACAATTAGTAGTGACTATCAATCTTATGTATCCACTATAGAGAATAGAAATACCTAACAACAAATAAAAAATTTGGCATTATGTGATCAAAAAAAGAGGGTCAACATAGCGGGGAACAATCCGGGAGAGATGAGGTTTGTGAATCGGGTAAGTCGATGGGATGGAGCCCTAGATTGCTGATTGATGTTGTTTTGACGATTTTAAACGATTGTTTCGCAGAGTGGTGTAATTGTACCCACAAGGTACGTCAGCTCCAATAAATAGGTCATCACAAAAATAGGTATATTTAGCTCAAATGGCCATATATGTAATAAGTCATTGTCTAGTGTGTTGTTAACCGCCGGCGAGATTAGAGGTCAAGCTTTTCGAGCGGGCAGAATCTAAAATAAAAATAGGGGCGAGGCCCTGATAAATCCCAGCCTTATCATTCGACGGAAAAAAATTGCGACGGCTTTTCGCTTTGAGCATACCACTAAACATTTTTTTTTTTTTTTTTTTTTTTTTCTCTCTCTCTCTCTTCTGGAGTGTTCCCAGACACATGGAAAGTTTCTGCCATCAACCGCCCATCTTTAAGAAGGCAAGAAGTTGCGACGTATCGAACAAATTATCGGCGCCATCAGCAAATTAATGTACTTTCTACCACCAACTTTTTTGAAACAGCCTAAAGTATACCCCCACTCATTTTTTCATTTTGAGTACATCGCTGATACTTACTATCAACCCCCCAGAGACAGTAATTGCGTCTCTTCCCTTAAAAAGGAATCTAGAACCTCAAAATCTCATGGAAATTACTGCAACCATACATATACTGTACAGCCATTTGACTCGAGTTGTTGGTTGAAGGTGCACCACTCCGTGTCCATATTATTACACGATACTCAGCAAAGCATTTGATAAGATCAGCCATGAAAATTAATCGATTCACGGTGCTAGAGGAGGGAACTGGAAGTCTGTGGAGAAATCGTGCCTGGAGATTGTTGGAGTCTTAATTTGCTTATAGATGTCTATCATCGTGTTGTGGCGTCTCTGTGGGCCCTTTTTTGGCTCGATGTTAGCACTTTTCCTCCGTACCACTCAGGGGGGTTCCACCGAGGAGTTCTCATCTTCGTGCTGGCCCGCTTTCTCTTTAGTAGTGTATATTAATGTGGGTATAAAAATAACTCACGCTTAATGTTTGAATAACTGCCTGTTTCCTCTTGCTAACGTGCTGATGATCTGAAGATCTTTCTCAGAGTTAATTCCATGTCAGATTGTGAAATTCTACAAGCTAGTCTTGAGAGGCTGATCGAGTTTTGCAATGAAAATCAGTTATTACACTTTTTGAAATCCTGACAAAGTGTGTTCTGTGTTTGTCGTTCACTCGGAAGTCGACATTTACTTTTTGCATCCTACAATCAATAACTATAAATTATAAAACAAATTGGTAAGTTGTGTTTATAAACTAACGAGTACCATATAAAAGACCTAGGGATTAGCTGTTTCGTGTTGTACTCTAGAAAAATTGGAGAGCACCATATTATGATAAAACTGGTTAATGAATTGTAATAGAGCCATATAGGATATACAGTTAAAAGAAATATGATGTGATTTCAATAAATCCAAAGATTTTTGACTCACTGACTGTTTCACCTATTACAATATGTATTATATAGTAGACCAAGACGAATCTCCCGCATAAGTAATGTCAAATAATGAGAGCCCCTGGCAACATAGAGAGAGAGATGGAGATAGAAGACTGGGAAAAATCAAACAAGAAATTTTTTTTATAAATTATATATTTGACTATATTTATTATTTACAGCGTGAATCAGAGCAACCACGCGGCGCGGCGGCGCTTCAAAATTCTTGAATTGGAAAAGAGACGTACTCTGTCTAGACAATTATTAAAATTTGTTTAAGAATCATTAAATAAATTTCTGTCGTAGCTCTATCGGCGCGAGAGATAATTCCACTATCGGAAGAAGTTAAGAAGTTTAAGTGTTGCCTAGTCCGACTATTTGGCACATGACCGGGGGTTCAATGACGCTCTTTTGGGTTCCATAATCAGGGACCAATGTAGTTCAACGCATGAGAATTGGTGCACCAGTTGGTTGAGGATGGTTAGGGTCTGCTGAAACTTGTTGAAGTTGGGTTCTGATTTCAGTGAAATATAAATTTTTTATACCTTATCCTCCAGTACAAGAACAACATCTACTAAACCTTTAGAAATAGGCTTATAAGTGTTGAAAATATTTATGAAAGAGTATACGATCTCTCTGTCTCTGACTGAGGTACTAGATGAGTATATATAGACTACAGGGACCTGTAAAACGCACTACCTCTATTCATTGTATTAAAAAGTTAAGAAATCATAAGAGGTAGTAGTATTAGTCACATGATAGTCTACTTGTTTTATCTAACTTATAAGATATTAATGTTAATGTCTTACGAAAAAAAAACCAGTGATAGTTTTTATTTTTTAAAAAATGTTAAATTGTAAAACGGTCATAATTTATCATGGAATACTTAAGTATTAATGGGAGAGAATATATTTATGTATATTAAAAAAAAAAAAAAATAAAAATCAAAAAAGAAAAATAAATGTATTTTTTCATAGATATAAATTAAATAATATAAAAATTATATAAAATAACATTCTCTAATAAACAGACTCACCAAATAACAATACTCAGAGAATGGAATGGAAATAGAGAATGAAAACAACAATATCAATGAGAGCGCGCTCAGCGCTAACTCTCGAGTGATAACCTACAAAAAAACCAGAGATTAGAGAAGCACTGTAATCATAATAACATGAGCAGCACATAGCTCAAATACAAAACAGCAAATAGAAATATAATATTACTCACGATAAAAGCTAGTAACGCTGGAGTCGCACGGTTAGAGAACACCCAAAGATGAAAAGAGCAATAAATACCTAATGCTACTCCGCGTCCCGTTCCTGTAACCTTATTCATTAAGGCTTATGGCGTGAGTAAAATGGAGAGTGACATCACAGAATTAGAAAGAACTCTGACCGCAGGCTCTAACAAGCAATACAACACATGCTACAAGTACCCGTATACACACCATATATAACAACGCGGGTAACAGAAAAGATTCTACGACTAAAAAGAAAATGTATGACACGGCAACGGGGACACTTATCGGACAAGAACATGATACTACAAGCAAACAACACCACACACCATCGAGACATCACTTTTTTCAGAGACGAAGCGTTCACCACAGCCCTCTATCCCCCCGTAACCACTTATCCCGAATCACCCCCTCCCAATTATTCTCTTTCAACCTCACCTCCACTCCATCAAGTGTACTCCCCCTAACACTTCAACTCCACATCGACACCCCATCACCCCAGTTGACTCCTCTTTGAACTTACCCATTTACACACATAACACGCACCGCTACAATGCGAGAGAAAAATGGAAATCCCAAGCCCTTAATGGATAAACATTTGATTACATGCAAACCAACTAACACAACCATACATTGACATAGCAGCATCCAATGCATGGCTTACTCAAGGTAATACTGACTGTTTGGGAACCATCGGACGAGAGGAGGAGAGATTACATAAATTAGCAATGCCTCAGGAAACCAGACTCATAATAGCGCGTCTCAAGCGAGATTACCAAGAAACTACATAATCAAAACCCCAAAACACTTCTCCATAGAACAAATGCAGACTTGTACAAGCAAACCGAAACTAAGAATCACTATAACCGGTCGGGATGCACTCACTATACTTTGCATTTTTCATGAACAATAACCACAGGCAAGAGAGACACACACGACTGATGTTTGCTCAGAAATAATTCCATTCAAGAAATAAGCAATAGAAATATTATTTTTGTTGTAGATTTCATTACTGCTACTTTAATTATAATTCACCATAATTACCTTAAACAAATATTCAAGCAGCTAAAACGTTCTAACGAAATAAGACAGGCCCATAGCTCTAAGCTGGAAAACCTGGTGATATAATCAACAGACAAAAACCACACACTACAACAAAACCAGACATCACGTTCATCCACAAACCAACCAAAACGACATACTTAATAGAGATATCCATAACAAATTCACAAATTCAAGAAAAAAACACTGGAAAAAATTTTGAGAGAATAATATAATACCCTTTAGTAAGATGAAATAAAGGCTCATGAATGCATGGCTACGTCGACATTGTAAAAATTTATATTCCAATAATAGTGTATAAACTAATGGATTGATCCCCAAAATCATTTTATACATGATAGTCTTGAAAGAGCGCCTTGAACTTTGCACAAAACTTTATTAATAAACCCATTTCAAAAAAACAGTTTTTCCTCCACACATGTAATATTACACGACAAGTCTTAAATACACAGTAAAAAGCGTTGACGCTTGACTTAAGTCCGCGGCTACGTTAAATACCGGAAAGTCCCGAGATTCAAGAACATAATAATATAAAATAATAGTTACCTATCACACTCTTTTCAGGTGCAGGTGGAATGATTCTCCCAACTTTTAAATATTTCTCAGTGAGCTTATCATGAAGACCAAGAAAATCACTAAATCTTCTAGTAACGGTAAAATTTGTCCTCTTGAATATTGGCATATTAGTTCTGGTTGTTACTCTGTAAGCAACATAGGCACCCATACCTTCACCCACTTTTTGAGTATCTCCAATTGATATTTCTAGAAATTCATCTCTACCTTCCAACTCAGCCTGAAAAAAATATTTAATAAATATATTAGAGGTAAAATGGAATATATAATTCCATTATTATTGTTTTAGTAGTTAACCATTCTATATTAAATTTTGAATCACTCTACAACTGTAAATAAAGAAATCAATAAAGCACACCTTAGTGCTGATTCATAAAAACTAGAAATGTTTTATTTACTGATAAAATATTTATTGTTTAAATGTGGTACCTAGATGAAATTTTCCACTATCATTTGTACAAGGTTTCTTAGAAATAGATGAGATCTTTAAGTATGATGAAAAATCTTACCGCCTCTAAAGAATCAGGTTCATGACTGATCGGTATGGTTTCCAATTCAGCCTTAGACTCGGACATTTTTAAATGTGAAATGTCTGCATCGTTGCTATCACCATTTGTTACATGGTGAGTACTATTTTCCACTGGACCCTAAAATTAGCGGCAGTAAAAAATATTAAGTTTTAAAATTAGAAATTGTATCAGTGTACTTGTCTAGCAGAAACAAAAAGGTCTTCTTCCTTGTCTCCGTTGTTAATATTAACATTTTCAAAAAAAGGGGGTGGATCAAGTTTATCCTCAGCCATAATTTGCAAGACTTCTAAATCTAAACGCCCCTTGTACCCGCCCCTTTTTTGGTTTTTATGTAGAAAATTGTCAGTAAATTCTGACTTAATGAAAAATTAATATTTACCCACTTTTACTTTAATTACTAGCAGCTATGTACAACAAATTTTTATCATGAATTTTAAACTAAAAATAAGATGACAAATGACAAATTGGCAAGTTAAATTATTGACATAAATTTTTGAAAATAGACTTGTTCAAAGGATTACTAATTTTAATCTTTGGTAAGATTTTGTCACTATATGTCAAAGATATAGAGATGGGAGAAAGTATAAAAATTAAATTATCTGCACTGTGGCTCCGACGAGTGCGCATTTCTTGACGCATCCAAAAAATTTCCAATGTGATGGCCGCCATGTTCGCGCTATCTCCACAAGGGACGATCAATAAGTAATAACTTTTTATTCTTAATAGGTAATAACCAGAGGTATACTTGTATTCATTTAAAACTTCCCAATATGGCGGACTTCAGTATGGGAGGCAGGGTTCGGAAAACTACATGTTACTTTTAAAAACTACATAAACTACATTACATGTAGTTAATGTAGTTTATGTAGAGGGTGTAGTTTATGTAACCTATGTATGTAACTTTTAAATATCAAAGGTTTGAGGTGAAGTTATAATAAGTTGAAGCTTTAAAAACACATAATGTATTTAAGAAAACAGAAGAAATATGGCTTTAAATATAATATTATCTCTATTACACCTCATACAAATGAAAATTATTCATAATCTCAATACATAGTTTATTAACGTAGTTTTCATGTAGTTAATGAACGGGAAAAGACGTAGATTTTGAAGGAAAACTACACGTAGTTAATCAGGTAAATTACGTCTTAATTAACTACTTCCGAACCCTGATGGGAGGCTTAAAAAACGAAAATCTCTAAACTGGAATCGACTGTACTTCAAATCGTTCATATTGATAATCTGTGGTAAATCCAATTGAACTCTGACACCTGACACTTGGCTGACATTGACGTTTACTGTTATTATTTTCATTATTTTTTGAGTTTTTATTCACAAATTCTACTTGATTTTGTTCTTTTATTTAACCTGCAGTACTAATTATATAGTTATAAATAATCTTTTCACCGATCAAGAATTGACGAATAGGCTGGAAGATATTCAAAATGTGTAAAACGCTTAAAAACGTATTAGAAAACATTGACTCGTTCACAAATTCCTGAAAATAAATTAGTCCAGATGTTTGTAAAAAGGTCTCTAATTAATTTGAGAAGTTTCCTCGTAATTTTCAGGTTTGTAATATATGTACTATATGATAATAAATACATTAAAACTCTTATATTTCAGGAAACAGCGCCGGCATTACAGATTGTTGTAAATCAGTTTTAAAATATAAAGAAGGTTTAAAACAGGTTTAAAAGTTGAGTTAGTAGAGAAGACCTAAATAAGGTAATGTTGGTAATGGGACCAAACATCAAATAACACTTGAAATATATAATTATGTACAATAATTGTAAGTAGTTTTTATGAATCTGTTTGATATCTATTGCATTGTTTTTATATTTCTTGAAATATATATATATTTTTTTTACTTTACAGGATAAACAAAGAATAATAAAAAATATAGTTAGTCACTAAAAGCACTTAAGGTTTGTAATAGAGGTAGTTAGAATATCAAACACCAAACCAAACCAAAAATTATGTTTTATTTTACTGGTATTCCTCACATTTGAAGGGAAAGTCATTTCATAAATAAGCAGGACATTGTATAGTACACTCTATATTAATAATTGTTTTTTATCCTATACTTGTTAGTTAATGCATCACTTACTAGGTATAAAATTTAGTACTGATTAACCTATAGTTGTGGTTGTGATATATTCTGATGTGTTTCTGGCAATTTAAAATAAGTCAATATTTAAACAAACATTTCTGGCTTTCCTGACAGGAGTGTGGACACAAATTTAATAAAGGTATAATGTGGATAATGTTCTGATTATTACAGTTTGCATGGATGTTTTTGTATGTTGTTATTTTTAATAAAGTATATTTAATGAGTTTTTGAGTATTTCTTTTTCCTTCAGAGGATTGTGTTCTAATCTTTATATATTATAAATTTTCATAAATTATATCTACAAAATTTATTACCTTATAACTATTTAAATAAGATGTTTGAAAATATATCGCTGTTTTTGCACACATCAATTCAATTTGTGATTAACTGTACTGAAATAAAAACAAATTAAGTGAAATGGGGTGATCTATCAACTATAACATGAAAAGCATGATCCTATTTCCAAGTCTTCTATTAATTTCACTTATTAAACAACTATAATTATTCAATAATCTTGATAATTCTAGGAACTCTCAGATATCGTCAAAACATGAAAACAAAAATTTACTTCCTATAGTTCTTACGTCCCTTTAACTGAAATATAAGAAATAGGGGTGTTAATATTCTCACTGAGAAAGTTTATAAAATACCTTTAAGTAAAATCTCTTCGGATCTGCGGTAAAATGCCTTTATTCTTATTAAATAATTTCAATAATCTATGTTTTTATTTATGACAACCATCTAATAACCTAACTTTAACGTCAACTTGACAATCCTGAAAAATATTATTGTTAACCAAAGAGTAAATCAATTTCTGAATTCACTAACGCCAACTTATTTTTCATTAAAAAAAAATTACCAATTTTCGTAACTAGGTCGGCCATATTGAGGAACTTTTAAAAGAATAGTACTATAATAACCAAAGACATTTATGATTAAATGTCTCTGGTAATAACCGCTGATAACTTTTGAGATTAATTTCGTCTTTTGTTTTATGTCTATCATAATCAATGGAATAGTCATCAGGAATAGTCCCTTACAGAGCTGCAAGAAGGCTGCAAGTACACAGAAAACTTAAGTCTTTTTTGATTTAAATCATTTTAATGACTTAAGTCATTTGATTTTAAGTCATTTTTCGAAAGCTGACTTAGGACATGCTTAGGACTTAAAATTTAAGTCTGTTTGAAAGTGATTTAAATCTTTATTCCGAAATAGAAAAAAATTAAAGTCTTTTAGAAAAGACTTAAGTCAATAAAAAGATTAAAGTCTTTTTATAAAATAGGCTGGCTTAAGTAAAATTTTTATATATTTTTATGATAAATTTAACAGCAGCATTTTTTCAAAACTGTCATTGCATGGCAGGTACATTCACGCTGAGAGCCTCGAGCGTCGCGTCGCGTCCGCCCCATTGAACTCGAACCCCGACGCTCAGCGGACGTTAGCGCAACGCCAAACGCGACGCTGTCTGCCTGAACGAACGGTCTAATTTAAGTTAAGTGAATTGATTCCATTTCGACACGCAGACGCGACGCAAACGCGACGCGATGCGACGTCGACGCTCTCAGCCTGAATGTAATAGGCGGTATCCAAGCAGCAGACTATAAAAATTAAAAAAAAAACAATGCTCAATACTATTGGTTAATAAAATGTTAGTTTTCCATTTCGACACACAGACGCGACGCAAACGCGACGCGACGCTCTCAGCCTGAATGTAATAGGCGGTATCCAACCAGCAGACTAAAAAAATTAAAAAAAAAACAATGCTCAATACTATTAGTTAATAAAATGTTAGTTTTTCGAAACTGGTTTTGATTATTTGTCGTGTTACGAGTGCGTAGTGAGTCTGTTGTCTTTCAAGTGAAACCCTGAGTCCGTTATGTAGCCCGAAAGACGAACGAAAGAAGTTTATCTCGAATATTGAAGAGTATATTCAGACATGTATTCGATGATATCTATCTGTAATGGACACATATAACGGGCTATAAAATCGATTAAATTCTATAAAAATAAACATATTTTTGGGTTTGTAGTTGTTCTGAAAATTAACTGTTTTTTTTGTTAATTGGTTTTAGTCTCATCTGCATCTAGAATAAATTAATAATATGATACTTACCCATATAACACCCAATATCCGCAGGATATTCATAGAATGTCCGAATGTCCCATTATAAGATCATCTTATAAAGGCATCTATAGGATATCCTCCAGACATCCTGAAATCCTGTAGATGTCTCAGAATAGAATATCCTATGGATATCTCTGTCGTATATCTAATGTACATCCAGCTGAGATATCCAAACATGCTCATTATAATAAAATATCCCAACAATATCGTTTAGATATTTAGGAAAAATAAATAATGTACTACTTTTTATATTACATAAAATGCAATAAATCATACAGATAGATATATATATATATTACGTCAAGGCAACAAAATATCCTATTGGTATCTTCTGGATAATCTGGATATTTATGAGCTTGGCCACTCCCAGTAATACAGAGAATTTAAAACGCCCGCGCAAAAAATTTTCCACAATCCATCTCGACAGTTCTTTCTTTTTGCATCGTGTATTATTCAGTTCTTTGATTTAGTGAAATTCGAGGTGAATTCGGTCGTTTGTCGATATTGAATGGGCTTAAAAATGACTGAAACTAACAAAACTGGTTGAGTTTGACTTAGTTTTCTCTTATACTCATAGTTCTAGCCTTGTTTTAGCAGAAATTCTATCCTAACCTCAACTAATGTCGAAAAACGACGAACGACTCAGGGTCTCACATTGAAAAATTTGTGACAAAGTTATAGGTGAAAATTTGTTAAAAAGCGCTTGTTCTTTATCCCTAAACCCATTTTCGTGTTTGATCTATTCAAACAGAAATCCTATTTTTGTGTTTAAATTGTGAGTTTCTGGAATGTGTGGTGTTAGAAATTATACCTGTATCCTGTGTGCTGACTTTGATGTAAACAGTTGCTGCTAGACATAAACTGCTAGACTCCCTCCATAAAGGGTAGTATAATCTGGTATAATACCATACGATCGAAAAAACGGCGTCAGAGGTGGCTTGGAAATGAAGATTGCTGTTATTTTGTATATAAAATTATATGGGGAATGTCATGGATCGTATAATTTTCAAGCCAATTGAACGCCGTTTTTTTTTTCGATGGTACAGTATAAATTGAAACTCTTAACTCATACAAATAAACTTCTAAATTTTGACGTAAAATTCATTTACATAATATGTAGGTATATTTTAGAGCTGTTAATAAAAATATCCAATGAATAACGTCAAAATGTGGCTAAATAAAACTAAATCGCGAACGTTTTTACTATAAACTAAGGATGAAGTAAGTATTGTCAAATAACAGTCCTCATATA